GAGGAAGAAGACAGGAGAGGGAAGGAGGGAGGAAGGGAGATAGGGAGGAGATGGAAGGAGAGAGGGAGGAAGAGAGGGAAGGAGGAGATGGGAATGAGAGGGAGGGAGGAAGGGAGGGAGGGAGATAGGGAGGAGATGGGAATGAAAGGGAGTGAGGAAGGAAGGAAGGAAGGAAGGAAGGGAAGGGAAGGAAGGAAATGGAAGATAAACACAAGAGAACGCCAGCCTCATCCCAACAGAGGTTTTAAGAGAAGCAGCCAATTTCATCGCCGTCAATTCCCCACGCCTGGATTTTTAAGGCACTCCAATCAGGCCCCGGAGCCTTGCTTCAGAACTTAAGGACCAGTCTCATCTTCCACAAGTGAAAATTAAATCTGAATTCCTAGGCTGCAAACATTTATTATTATTATTATTATTATTATTATTATTATTATTATTATTATTACTACTACTACTACTACTACTACTACTACTACTACTACTACTACCAAACAGAATGACTTCATCTAGTCAAAAGCTTTTTCAGTTCGTAATTCTTGGTCAGACCGATCAGCGCTATTCAGAAACCTCGTGCGCGCACAGCCTAAACACACCACAGCCTTTCACTGTTTCCTTCAAAGTGGTATTTAAGGCATAAAGATCATTTGTGCCTCCAAAATCCTGGCCTCTTTATAAGCCCTTTTAAATGGTGGCCATCACCATCCAGATTCAGCCATAGTTTCATTCCATACAGCATTAACCTTGCGAACTCTCAAGCTTCCTCCCTCCGTTATATATTCAAGATGGCCAATATTTAATATTTATTTGCTACGTATATGTAGGGGTGTGGGTCTATACATATGTTGTTCATAGTATGTTTTAGGTGTGTGTCATGTATGTGTTTCACTTTGAGAGCGGGCAACTAAATTTCATTTTTGATGTGTGCCGTTGTGCCCACAGTAAAAAAAATGACAATAAAGGTTATCTTATCTTATCTTAATAATAATAGTTAACGGAACAGAATTCTTCAATAGAATAGAATATTCTTTATTGGCCGAGGGTGAACGGACACACAAGGAATGTGTCTCCGGTGCAGAAGCTCGCAGCATACGTACAAACAACTAAGTGACAGGTTATAAATCATAGTTACAATCGTTAACCCTAAGTTACCAACAACAACTGATAAATCGTAAGGAGCCAATGGGAGAAGATAGTGGGAAAGATGAGAAGGTAAGGAAAAAATGAGAAGTGAGACAGGGAATTTAGTGTTCAGCAGTGGAATTCTGGGAGTTGAAGTCCACAAGCCACAAAAGGGCCACGTTGGAAGACCCCTGAGTTAGAGGAACATATGAAAGCATAATGAATGCTAATTCATGTAGATGTTATTAGTTTAGAGCAGGGGTTTTCCAACCTGGCCCTTTTATGATTGGTGGACTTCAACTCCCAGAATTCCTCGGCCAGGCACGCTGGGAGTTGAAGTCCACAAGCCACAAAAGGGCCAAGTTGGAAGACCCCTGATCTAGATGAACAAGAAAACAGAAAAGGCAAAACACCACCCCCAAGGAAAATCAGATTTTTCCAAATGTAAATACCTCTTGTCCAGTCAGAAAAAGGAGCAGGTCTCCTTCCTCTTCCTCGCACATATGGATCTGTATTACTGTACGGATGGCTGCTTCGAGGTAATCCCGTTCGGGCTCCGGAGTATAAAAAATCTCCACCGGATGCGTACGGCCAGGAATGGTGAGCAGAGGGCAGTTATCGAAATAAATTTGAAACTTGCCGGCATCTAGAGTTGCGCTCATCACGATCACCTAAAAAAAATTTTAAAAAAAAGACAGGAAGAACAAAAAGTGGGTCTTTTGGGTAACGAAGGCTTACATTTCAAACGCACAAGGGTCCCGCTTTGCGGGGGAAATTTGGGGCTCAATTTGGTCGTAGGTTGAGGACTTACCTGTACTGGGGGGGGGGAGAATAATAAATCGGGATAGTTTGTTCGGTTTACAACAGGGGTCTTCAAACTTGGCCCTTTTGATGACTTGTGGACTTCAACTCCCAGAATTCCTCAGCCAGGCTAGATCACCCTTTTCAATGTCTAGGTCCTTCTAGATGGCTTCTGGTTCTCCAGCAACTCCAACTAGGTTGGGGTGGCAACCATGATGGTTTGAGATGAGAGATGCTGTAATCCAGGCGTCTTCAAACGTGGCTCTTTGATGACTTGTGGACTTCAACTCCCAGAATTCCTCGTGCCTGGCTGAGGAATTCTGGGAGTTGAAGTCCACAAGTCATCAAAGGGCCAAGTTTGAAGACCCCTGATACAGACTTTTAAGAGGAGTGGACTTCAACTCCCAGAATTCCTCAGCCAGCGTGCCTGGCTGAGGAATTCTGGGAGTTGAAGTCCACAAGTCATCAAAGGGCCAAGTTGGAAGACCCCTGAGTTACAGGAATGAAGCCCAGCTGTTGCAGGGGGTCAGAATGGGAAATGGCAGAACTTAGATGTAAAAGAAACAAATCTGATGCTTTATTGTTTATCTGCTGCTAGATTGTTAATAGCCCAAAACTGGAAGAGCCCAATTCTGCCAACGATGGGAGACTGGAGATTGAAAGTTTCGTATCTTGCTGAAATGGCAAAGATTTCAGCTTACCTGAAGAATCACTCGAATGAACAATTTTTATCAATATGGAGAAGATGGATTGTTTATATTCAAAAGAAACATAAAGTGGTAGAATATAAGTTAGGTTTTTAGAATTTTGTAAGTTGGTTTATTTCTACTATCTTTTCTTGTAGATTAAGATATTTTGTAGAGTTAGAGATATTAGTATTTGTTTACTTTCATATGAATATTATTCTGGGATTAGGTTTGGGGAGTCCGGGGGGGGGGGTTATTGTTATTGTGTTTACCTATGATTGTTTTTTATGATTGAAAAAATAAATAAAATTTCTTATAAAAAAAAAAGAATGGGAAATGGCCAAGATGGCAAGGTACCCATGGCAACGGCATCTGCCAAGGCTATGGGGATGGAGGAAGCGGATCTATGTCCCTCCCGTAGCACACATCTCCCCCCCCCAAACCAGGAGAGAAGCTGCCCTGAAGATGAGGTGGTCAGCCTTGTTGGGGGACCGGGGACCACCCTAGTACAGAACAAATGCTGCCCAGGTGCAGAAGAGGGAACGGCCTCAACCCGCCCTGTCTAATCACCCTGCCAATAAAATAAGATTTATCCAAAAAAAGGTAGGACAAGAAGCAAGGGATGGGAACTAATCAAGGAGAGAAGCAACCTGGAATTAAGGAGAAACTTCTTGACAGGGAGGACAATCGATCAGGGGATCAAGAAGTTGCCTTCAGAAGTCGTGGGTGCTCCATCACTGGAGGCTTTTAAGAAGAAAACTGGACAGCTACTTGTCTCAAAGGGTTTAGGGCAGGGGTCCCCAACCCCCAGGTCCGTGGACCGGTAGCGGTCCACACAAACAAGCGAAGCCCCATCCGCAGGATGCAGGTAGCAGACAAAATCACGCACTCTGCGATCTGTGGAAAAACCTCTCTTCACGGAAATGGTCCCTGGTGCCCCAAAAGTTGGGGGACCTCTAGTTTAGGGTCTCCTGGTTGGACTAGAAGACCTCCGAGGTCCCTTCCCACTCTTGTCATTCTGCTAAATGACTTTGGGACTGGGAACCCTCCAGAGATAATCTATAGGGCCTCAAGCAGCAGCTTTCTCAGCAGGGCTGTGGAGTCGGAGTCGGAGTAAATTTTGGGTACCTGGAGTCGGAGTCGGCAAACAATGCACCGACTCCGACTCCTACTAAATTTAGATTGGAATTTTAAAAAAAAGCAAGTTTAAATGTCCCAATTCACAAAAAGTTATAATTAATGACTTCTCTACTGTAAGAATAAAGACCAATGCATGCAGTGCCTCACGTAACCGCAAAACGAACCCGTTAAGTGACCGTGAAGAAGCGTGCTTTTCATGTGCTTCACTATATGGCACGCAACGCACAATTAGGAGCGGCAATACTTATACTT